CTATAAACCTGTAAAGGATCCCTGTAGCTGTGTTATTGTTATAGTACTGCTGTTAAGAAGGCCACGGTACTGTAACAGTACGTTTGGTCTGACTGTCATTATCTTGATCCTTCGTGTAAATGGACTTAACCACCCGTTCACTTATATCATTCTCCTCTAAAAATGGCCCACAAAAAGTGAAGGACATAGTAATTTTAAAGGCGGTAGCTGCATTTATATATTTTTCAGAAGAACAAACTATTGAAAAGGATTATATGAAGTTGTTTGTAATGAGGATTGTTGAGTATTGTTATGATTAGAGTCTGAAGTTTAGTTAAAATTATGAGTTGTATTAGAAGTATTTGTCTCATTGGCATCAGCATCAGTCATAGAGATGTCACCATCAGGGTTAATTATGATTTCTGAGTGTTGTTGGGCCATGGATTATCCTCTATCAAAGATGTAGAAGTTTTGAGTATGCTTGTATAACTAGTTGTGGTATTGTTATTGGTTTGTTGAGATACTGTGTCATCAGTAGACTTGGGTATCTGTTTATTATTTGTTAGAATTTTGGAAGGTGTAGCTTGGGTTGGTCAGAAAAGATTTGGTTTAATTTGTGAAGTTTTGAAGTTAACCTTAAATTTAGAGTGTATAGTTTTCTCTGCTTCAGGATAGGCTTTGTTATTGTAGTATTTTTGAACTTCTCATATAGATACTTTGTCGAGTGATTTGTGAATATAATAATATGTAAGTACATGAGCAAGGAAATCAGTATTAGCAGGGTTTGAAGCAATTCTGTTGATTACTTCATATGAATGAAAGCCATCGAGTTCATCATTAGAAGTTGCAGTAGTAAGATATTTATTATAGTAGTAAACTAGAGAATTTATTTACATAATCTTCATATAACAAAATTTTAATGATACTGTTACTATATATAGTATTTATACTTTATAACCAGGTCTTTTTTCAAGAATTTCTTATTCTAGTTTTATATTATACTTGAACTTCCACAAAACTTCATATTTAATTTTTATAGCTCCTTAAATTATGAAAATAAAATTTAATTAAAATTTATTTTTAGTCTGACTTAAACTATTAATTTAGTCTGTGAGGTTTAAGAGCTTAATTGCTAAACTATAAAGCTCAAAACCTTATACTATTACTTATTATTAAACTTAAATAAATATAGTTGACCCTTATTAGTATTAACCTATTTAGACTACTTTATATTCATATTAATAGTGATATTAACAAAAGTTTATATTAAAGTTGGTATATATATTGTAAGTGGAAATGGAATTTAAGTGGATTTGGGATTTATATATAAAACCCCCATTTTGGGTGATTTATCATATGTACACCCTAACCCTAATCCTAATTTAACTAGGAAATTCCAAATCCACTTAAATTCTATTCCCACTTACAACATATATAAAGAAATTTGATATATAAAAATTTCTAAAATTTATTTTGTGGCTTAGATTGATATTAATACAGATTGATATTAATAAAGTTCAACATATTAGTGATAGCAAATATTAATAAATATGACAAATTAAAATAAAATTAGATTAAAATGAAATTTTTTATTTTTTAAGAAAAATTTAAAATTTTTTAGAAAATATTTTTTGAAGTTTTTTTTAGTATTAGAGGTAGGGTTTAGAGTTAAAGTTATTAAAAAAAGAGTGTATATAGGTTTTATAATCTTTAAGAATAAGCAAAAAAGGTTACCAATTTCATTTTAATCTGATTTCACTTTAATCTATGACAATAAATTATAGAATTAAAATTTTAGTAAATCTTAAAACTTTTTAAATTATATACTATTTGTGTACTTTAATCTAACTTTTTTTTTAATATTTTAGTATTATATAATAAACTACTAATTAATAAAAATATTTTAGAACTTTTTAAACTCTTGTGAATACAGAATACAAATAAATATATAGCAAAATGGTTATAAGCAATTGACAAATATAGAGACATACTCAATTATAAGTTTGAAGATTTTTCTTGCAAATATTTATATAGTTAAAATGAATAAACAATAAAAAATATAAATTAAAATATTTATATTTCTCTTATATGATATTTAAAAGAATATTTAGCTATTAGCTGTGCAATATGTAGAACTTTACAAATTCAAAAAGTATTACAAAGATTATTTAGAATTTATAATTATATTTATTAAGCTAATTTTTTTTTGTATTACTCATAGTTTATTTTTTTTTAATTTTTTAAGCCCAATTGTATTAATTTATTCTATTTTTACTATTTAGTTTTTTTTATAAATTATTCTGGTATAATCAATAGAGACCTTGTTTTTCTAAAATTATCTAGTAGAACTAATAAAAAAGATTTGACTTCTAACCAATTTTTGAGATCTTAGATATGAATATGAGTTTATTAATTTACTATAAATCTGATGACTAATTAGAAACTTTGAAATTTATATAATGCAAAGTAAAATCAACTTTATGTAGCTTATCTATATCTAATTATAAAATAATAGCATTTATTTATTTTTTTTATATTTAAATTTAATAATATTAGCAAAAATATTTATACTTTAATAGGCTATAACAATATCATAAAAATTTGGTTATATATTATTCTAATTATTAATTTATTGTTTTTAATATATTTTAATTATACTATTATTTGTTGATTTAAATAATTTAATATTTGTTAGAAAAGGTTAGTAATTTGTATTTCTGATTATTGTCTATTTAAAAGTTCTGCTTGTAAATTCTTTATATATTGCTATATCTAAGATCTACTTGTATATTTTCTATTTAAACTTTTTGGTTTTAATATTATTCTATTTATCTAAATTTTATTTTTATAATTAATAGATAGGAGCTCACAATACTACTAGTAATATATTATATTACATTGTAACAGTTTTTAAAAACTCATATCTACTAATTTAAAAATGAAATTTCTTTTTAAATATTTTTTTAAAGTACTTTAATTATATTTAATTATATTTATTATATAATAATAGTTCTAAATATTTTTCAAAATTTTATATAATTTTTTTAAATTTAAAAAATTTTGCTAAAATTTTACTATTAAAATTTCATATTTAAAAAGTTAAATCTATTTTTAAAATTTTAAACTTATATTATTTAAAGGATTTTATTTTTTGGTACATCTGCACCGTGGTGCATTCCTTATCACGTGATCAATATATTACAGCATTATTACAATTTTTTATTAATTTATTAAAAAAGTTTATTTATATGTATCTTAAGGTATATCAGCTTTAACTATTCTATTAGCTATGCGCAACTAAATATTCTCTAAAAACAACTTTATTGTAGACAATACAACTTGTATTGCTTCATTTACACTCAGCAACACAGATAGGGCTTGCTTCGCTCACTCTGTAGTCACTTCGCTACGGCTGTCACCTCTACTTCGCTCCTTTTTCTAAATAATTGATACAACTACACGATTTATTTTAATCTACTCTAACTTATCCTAACCCTAACACAATCAATAACTAAACAAAAATTCATGTTTACACCAACAAAAATACAAAGTTAAAATGATGGAATCAACAACTATAATATAAACTATCTAACACTAGCATAATAACGAAAAATGAATATGATGAAATAAAAGACTTCTCTTACAATGAATACCAATGATGAAGATACTTCGTATCTCCAATTACGACAGCACCAATGATATGGAAAATCACAACTACAAAATTTCAAGAAAGACTCTTAGCAAAACTTAAAAAAAAAAAAAAATATTAGTACAGTATATTCAACAACCAAAGCAAAGATAAAATAAAATTGTATTTCCTGAAGAAAGCTCAGAAAAGCCTTTCATAATACCTTGAAGAAAAGGAAGCGTTAATAATGCAATTGAAAATCAGATCAAGCTCACCTAAAAAAAAAAGAAGCATTAATAACATGTCAAGCTAAAAAAAAAGCCAAGAAAAAAAAAGAAATTATACGTCTCTAGAAAATACTCTAAAGTTCTCAACAGTGTTAATAATGTATCTACAAACAACAAAACAATATAGTCATATACTCTAAATTTCTAAAAAAAGATTTTAAAACCCGAAAACACTTTTAAAAGCACCTATAAGACAAAAATATTAATAACACGTTTGCAACAGATATACCAAGAACAATCAACAGAAAAAATCTACTTCCAGAATCCTCAAGAAAGTCTGAAGACACCTATAACAAGCCTAGAAAACAAAAAGAAAGGTTAGTACACATCTACAATCCAGAACAGCAAGAACAATAAACAAAAGAAATCATACTTCTCAGTATTCAAAAAGAAGAAGAAAACTCCAAAACACTCTTAACAAACCTAGAAAGAATGAAGCATTAGTAACAGTTCACAAGCCAGTAAACTAAGACAACAAATAAATAAAACTATATGTCTCGACAACTATTATTAACCTAACCTGTCTACATTGTCACGTAATAACGTGTCAGCAATATAATCTAGATCATACCAAGGATGACTTTAACTAAGAGCAGTATACCAGCACACAAGAAGTGAAACCACAGCATACCCAATAAAAACACAAATTTCTGCCAAAAGCAGCAACAGCAAGGTGATACCAATTCATCAAGGCACCAGCGAACAACAAAAATGAATAATGACACCAAATTGCAAAACGACAGCTTCAGTAACAACGAATAAGTAATTCACTAAGGCACCAGTGAACGACAAAACAAATAACAACACCAAATTGCAAAACGACAGCTTCGGTAATGACAAATAAGTATAGTACATATCTATTAACTAAAAAATATTAGTAATGATTGAAACAAAAATCAAAAAAAAAATCAGTTGATTAGATGCAATTGATGATCACTATTTATATCTCGTGATCAGAGGTATATCAAATTATAATTCTCTTATTTAAAATATATTAGTTTATATATATAAATATTAATTAATTTTAATAAATTATAAAGTTTTTTATAACTTTTTTAACTTTTATTAAAAGTTTAAACAAATTATTTAATAAAATTTTTTTTATATTCTACTAAACCTTGAATAAACTCTATGTATTACTAAAAATAGTAATAATTTGCAATTAACAGTCTATAAAAGTAAATAATATTTTTATAATATAAAAAATAATATTTTTTAATAATAATAAAATTTGAGTTTTGTAATTTAGTGCACCTGCACTGCAGTACATCCTTTAATTTAACCAATTAAATTTGTAGATTATTTGTACAATATGAAGATCTTGTATAACAAAAACAATAGTTTTTTCTTTAATTTTTTATAAAAATTATAATAACTCAAAATTTTATATATGAAACTACCTTTGTGCTCTTAAAAAAAAATTCCTTGCTAAATTTTGTATATACTAATATTTAGATAAAATCTTAAATCTTGACCTAACCCTAAAGTAAATTAAAAGTTATTTTTTGTTTTTATAAAAATTTTATTTTATTTTTATTACACTAATTTGCAAATCAAAATAAGATGCACTGCAGTACACCATGCACTAAATACTAAAATCTATAAAATTTTATTATTTTTTATATAATAATACTTTTAAATTATAAATTTATTAATATTTTACAAGATATGAAATTTTAAAAAGTATACTACATGCAGTATACTAAAAAGTTAAAAAAAATTTTGATTAAAAAAATTTTTTTTCAATAACTTAATTATTAATTTTTAAAAAAATTGAATAAAATTGAATTAGAATATTAAATAGATTTTTTTATAAATTTTTTTTTAAATTTATAATTTTTTAAAATTTTATGAGTTTTAATAAACATACTACTGATAGTACAAAAGGTAAGCTCCTATCTATTAATCTATATACTATTTATTTATAAAGTAAATTTTACCAAGAAAAATAGATTCTACAAATTTTACTTATTTGGACTTTTATTAACTTATATCTAATTTAAGAATTAGTACTTGTAGTTTTTTATTTTTGCTATTATTATTTATTACTATAGTCAAACCTTTATAAATACAATATATACAGACTAGTCTAAAATATGTATTTAAGAAAGTTTGCATTTAAAAAGAGTTAATCAAATTACAGTTTTTAATATTTGATCTGCAAATTTGTATAACAAATCTAAATACTAACTTCTAATTAACTATATGCATTTAGAAAGGTTAATATAATATAAAAAATCTTTTAAATAAACATGCATTTACAGAATATAGAAGATGTATTTAGCACTAATAATTTTATATAGCCAAAACAAAAATATGTATTTAGAGAGATATTGCATTTATAAAAGTTGTATTGTATCTTTATAGATTTATCCAAATCTTAAAACTTTTTTAAGTTTATCTGATATTTTTTATTTTTTTAGTATTCTTTAGCTAGTTTTTTCAAACTTTTAATTTTGATAGTTTAAAAAAATACTAGTTTTTTGATATTTATACTATAGATTTTTTCTTTAATTAATATTTTAGCAGTTTAGTTAGTAAAATATTTTTGTTAAATATCTAGTTATATTTAGTTTTTTTAACAAACTAGACTCTTTAAGACTCAGATTTTTATTTAAATATTGTTAAGCAAGAATTCAACAAAGAACCTTCTTATATTAAAGTATATACTAGTTTTCTTTTTTTTTATAATTCAGCTACCTGCTATCATTTATTGAGATTATAACTATTTAACAAATTACAAAAATTTCTCTCCTAGCTATATTGATCTACCAAATCTACAGCTCACCAAGCTTTCGTACAATATGGCCTGCCTCAGTAGTCATTAGCCTTAATTCAGGTCTGAAACTTCTTTTAGACTTTTTTCTCTTCAATCCTCAGCTGGCGACTACAAGCTACTCGCCTTGATGTTGGCTTTTTTTTTTAGTAATTAGAACATATACACAAAATTAAGAGGCAAAATAAAATAAAATAAAAAAAACACATCAATTAAGTTCAACCTAATTAAAACAAATAAAACCAAAAACAAAAATAAAGAAAACAAAACAAAATAAAGAAAAAAAAACAAAAAATGGCACTATTAAACTCATGCTGGACTGTAAAAATTATATAGTGCTACTAAAAACTAGTCTAAACTCTACACTAGTTATTTATGCCTATATTAGAATATTTAAAATATCTATTCTTGAGTAGAGATCCAAGTTCGAAATTTCTTGCAGTCTTAACGAGTCTTCATCCAGTATTATGCAATATATTCACGTACTTCATTTCTGGGCAAAGTTAACGTGCTAGGGCACTTAGTGTAAATACTGCAACCTCTTGAGCTGATACAATCATATATTATTTATTCCAAAGTATATATATACACATGTATATGTATTTCCTTTTTCAGCAGCGATTGTTGTTGTTGATCTTTTGATAGGGGTTTGCCAGATTTCCTACTTTTTGGTAAAATTTCGTAAAGAGCAAAGAGTGGGGTGTTGTAAAGGGTTACGTTTTGTGCATAACCTTAAATTTCAGTAAGGAGTATGTTCAAAACTTGCTTGTTGTTCTCCTTTAGCCCAACTATCTTTCACTTCATTAGCAAAAGCTATGCTTCTATTAAATTTTTTTGTATAAGGGCGCTATCTTCTGCTAATTATCTTGTATAAGAACACTTTTAACTTGCTTGCTGAATATACAAAGGAGTCCAGCCAGATACAGAAAGGCCTTGATCTTTATAAAAACCATTACTTGATAATCATCTCTTTCTCTTTTCTTCAACAAGTTTCTATTTTATTAGTCATAAGTTTGGTACAAGTGATCATTAGAGAAAGTTCAAAACTATATATACTAGTTTTCTATATATATTTTATATCTATTTTAAATAGTCTATCTATATAGATTTTATATTAAATACTATATTTGCAATCTAAACTATAAATATTGCTTATTTAAACTTTCTATAATACATCTTTACTTGTATTATCAGAATATTTTTTATTATATAAATTAGTTAAAAATTTTGAATTCTTTATTTTGTCTTTAAAACTACTAGCATAGTTAATTAATTTATTTTTAAAGTATTATTTGATAAAGTTATTTATTATTTATTTTTAATATATAATTTAGTTTTGTTTAGACAGATATTACTAAATAGATTTTATATCTTTATAAGCAGGCAATACTACTGATATATATCGCAAATAGTTTTGTTATATAAAGTTTAAACCTTTATAAGCAGACTATACTATCTTTCTATCTAATACTTTTAAGTTCACTCAAACTCTAGTACTCTTCTTTTCAGTTTACTAATACTTTTTATTTTTATTATTTTCAAATTACTAATTTAAATAGTTTAAAAAAGATACTAGTTTCTTGATATTTGTTTTGCAGATCTTTTTTCTTTAGTTAATACTTTGGTAGCCTACAGGTAATTAAAAAGATAGTAAATTATTTTTAGATTGCTCTGATAGTAATAAATTATTTTTTGATTACTTTAGTAAATCTAATAATTTAAAAATTTTAATTAAAGTAAATATTTTTTAAATTGTATTATCAAATTTTTTTTTATTATATTTTAATTCTCTACACATCTTGAAGATCCTTAGATACCTTCAAATCTCTCATATTTCTTAAAGACTAAAATTTTTATTTTCGCAGAGATTACTAGTATTGACAATTTGGTCTTTATATATTACTGTTAAATATATCATATAAAGTTCTGGGTCTCTAGTACTATAGTATAGAATCTATATTTTTTAGATTTGCAGTTTTTTAACTTTATATGATATACAAGCCAAATCATTCTTTTATATCTGATATTCTTGATTCTAGTAATCCTTAAGCTAGATTTTTTAATATTAGTATTATTTGTTAATAGATTGCATCTTATCTGGTTATTTCTAATTCTGTGGTTATATTAACAAACTACAACTTATACAAATCTTGTT